TATTTTCAAAATAACTGAAAATAGCACATGTTAGTGAGGATGTGCATAACTTGTAACCCTTGTACAATGATGGTGAAAATATAAAATGGTATAGTTTGGCAATTCCTCAAAAAGTTTAGCACAGAATTACCATGTGACCCAGCAATTATGCTCCTAGGTATATATCCAAAGGAACTGAAAGCAGGGACTTGAACAGATACTTGTATTCCAATGTTTATTGAAGCGTTATTCAAAATAGACAAAAGGTGGAAAAAACATGAATGGGTAAAGTGTACTATACACATACAATGGAATATTTTTCAGCCACAAAAAGGAATAAAGTTCTGACACATACAACATGGATGAAGCTTGAAAAATTTATGCAAAGTGAAGTAACTCATATGCAAAAGGACAAATATTGTATAATTCTGCTTATATGAAATATTTGGATTAGGCAAATTCATAGAGAAAGAAAATAGATTAGAGGTTACTGCAGGGAGGGAGGAATTGGGAATTATTGCTTAGTGGTTACAAAGTTTCTGTTTGGGTTGATGAAAAGTTTTGGAAATAGATAGTGGCGATGATTGCACATTTTGAATCTACTTAATGCCACTGAATTGTACACTTAAAAATTGTTAAAATGGCAAATTTTATGTTATGTATTTTACAATAATATAAAAATGTAATAATGTAGTATACCAAAAATCATTGAATTACATACACTTTAAATGGGTGAATTATATGGTATGTAAATTACATCTCAATAAAGCTGTTTAAAAAAAGAAAGCTGGATGGGGCTTCCCTGGTGGCGCAGTGGTTGAGAGTCCGCCTGCCGATGCAGGGGACACGGGCTCGTGCCCCGGTCCGGGAAGATCCCACATGCCGCGGAGCGGCTGGGCCCGTGAGCCATGGCCGCTGAGCCTGCACGTCCGGAGCCTGTGCTCCGCAACTGGAGAGGCCACAACAGTGAGAGGCCGGGGTACCGCAGAAAACAACAACAAAAAAGAAAGCTGGAGTGGATATAAATATCTACAAAGTAGGTTTCAGAGCAAAAAATATTACAGAGATAAAGAAGATCATTTCATAATAATAAAGTGGTCAGTTCATCAATAGAGAATAACAATTGTAAATGTTCATGCACCTAATAATAGCATCAAAATACATGAAACAAAAACTGATAAAACTGGAAGGAGAAAGAGATAAATCCACTATTACAAGTCAGAGAGTCCAGTAATACTCTCAGTAATTGCTAGAACAAGTAGACAGAAAATCAGTCAAAACATAGAAGATTTGAAAAACACTGTCATTGAACTAATTGATATTTGCAGAGCACTACAACCAACAACAGCAAAAAATACTAATTTTTTTCAAGTGCACATGGAACATTTACAAAACTAAAACATATTCTGGGCCACAAAACAATCCTCTTTCCACAATGGAATTAAATTAGAAATCAGTAACTAAAAGATATCTGGATAATTATTGAATATTGTATTTGGAAATGTACACACGTCTAAATAACACATGGATTAAAAAAAATCAAAAAGGAAGTTAGAAAGTATGTTGAACTGAAAGAAAATGAAAACATATTACATAGCAATTATGAGATGCCACTGAAACTGTGTTCAAGGGGAAATTTCTAGAAACTAGATGTCTATATTAACAAAAAACAAAGGTCTCAAATCAATGACTTCATCTTCCACTTTAAGAAACCAGAAAAAGAAGAGCAAATTAAACACAATGTAAGCAAAACAAAGGAAATAATAAATATCAGAGCAGAAATCAATGAAATAGAAAACAGAAAAATAAAGAAAAATCAATGGAACCAAAAGTTAGTTATTTGAGATTAATAAAAATGATAAAACTGTAGCAAGACTGGTCAGGAAAGAAATGGAGATGTATCAGGAATGAGAGAAGTGACATCACTACAGATTCTACAAATGTTAAAAGGACGACAAAGTACAGCATAGAAACTTTAATCCAATATATTAAACAACTTAGGTGAAATAGAAAGATTTCTTGACAGACACAAACTATCAAACCTTACTAAAGAATAAATAACCTGAATAGCCCTATATCTATAATATAAATTGAATTTGGAATTAAAAACCTTCCTACAGGGACTTCCCTGGTGGTCCAGTGGTAAAGAAACTGCCTTACAATGCAGGGGATGCGGGTTCGATCCCTGGTCAGGTAACTAAGATCCCACATGCTGCAGGGCAACTAAGCCCGTGTGCCAAAATTACCGAGCTCGCGCGCCTCAACTGGAGCCCACAGGCCGCAAACTACAGAGCCCACGCACCCTGGAACCTGCGCGCCACAACTAAAGAGAAAACCCCCATGCCACAGCTAGAGAGAAGCCCGTGCACCACAACGAAGAGCCCGCGTGCTGCAACTGAGACCCAGCCCAGCCATAAATAAATAAAATAAACAAATAATAAATAAATCTTAAAAAAAAAACCCTTCCTACAAAAAAAGCCAAGTCCAGATGGCTTCACTGGTAAATTCTATGAAACATTTCTATTTAATTTTAATTTTTATTAAACATTTAAAATTCTCTTAAGCATTTAAAGAATAAATAATAACAATTTTATACAAACACTTCCAGAATATTGAAAAGAAGGAAATTCTTCCCATTCATTCTATGAGTTAACTAGACAAAATTACCCCACCTCCCCCGCCCCCACAAAACCTACAGATTAATATCCCTCATGAACCTATTTGCAAAAAGTTCTTAATAAAATTTTAGCAAATTGAATCCAGCAATATAAAAAAATGATAATGCAACAATGGCCAAGTGGTGTTTATCCCAAGAATATAAGATTGGTTTAAGATTTGAAGTCCAGTGTAATTCAACATATTAACAAACTAAAAGAGAAAGAAAATACAGTATTGCCATCTCAGATGCAGAAAGAGCATTTGACAAAATTCAACATCCATTCTTGATAAATACACTTAGCAGAAAAAGAAAAAAAGCTTCAACTCAGTGAAGGCCATCTATGAAAAATCTCCAGCTACCATTTCACTTAATAGTACAAAACTGAATGCTTTCCTTCGAAGTAAGATCTTGGCAAAGATATTCACTGTCTCCACTTCTGTTCAATCTTTTATAGAAGGTTTTAGCCAGAGAAACCAGGAAAGAAAAAGAAATAAACAGCATACAGATTTGATAGTGTGATGAAGAGCCTAATTTCATTTTTTGATGTTTGCCTGCTTATAGCTTTAAAAAAGAAACCCAAACCAAGAAGTTTATTTAAACAACAAGTGCTTGTCTTGAAGGGAAAACTATCTAGGATTTCTTTCTTTTTTAAAAATTAATTTTTAATTGGAGTATAGCTGAGTTACGATGTCGTATTAGTTTCTGCTGTACAGCAAAGGGAATCAGTTATGTATATATCCACTCTTTTTTAGCCTCTTTCCCCATATAGGTCATTACAGAGTATTGAGTAGAGTTCCTTGTGCTATACAGTAGCTCCTCATTAGTTATCTATTTTATATATAGTAGTGTGTTCATGCCAATCCCAATCTCCCAATTTATCCTACCTCCCCCTTCCCCCTTGGTGGTCATAAGTTTGTTTTCTACATCTGAGACTCTTTCTGTTTTGGAAATAAGTTTATTTATACTATTTTAGGATTTAGTTCTTTTAGAGTAATTTATCCCTACTTAAAGAGACTACCTTACTTGTGACATCTACATAGAAAAAAGTCATAAAATTGTCCTAGGTTTAACAATGATAAATGAAAAACATTAAAATTCTCCAGCTGAACAAGGTATGCAAGGATTTTTTTTTTTTTTTTTTTTTGCGGTACGCGGGCCTTTCACTGTTGTGGCCTCTCCCGTTGCGGAGCACAGGCTCTGGACGCGCAGGCTCCGCGGCCATGGCTCACGGGCCCAGCCGCTCCGTGGCATGTGGGATCTTCCCGGACCGGGGCACGAACCCGTGTCCCCTGAATCGGCAGGCGGACTCTTAACCACTGCGCCACCAGGGAAGCCCTGTCAATTGTTTTTAAGTTCTTAAATCAGAGCGGAACTCATATGAAATGTTGAAAAAAGAAATCGGGTCTTTAGGGCAAGAGTGACATATAGTCTGGGTTGCTGGATTCTTAGGTTTTTGCACCTGGTTACTTGTCTACTTTTCAACTTACACTTTTCACTCCTGATGGCGAGGCTACTTTGAATTATTGACATGACCTTTCATTTGATGGCTCAGTGTCTTTGCCTTCTTCAACAACATCTTTCTAGATTACCTGTATCACTTCTGTCCATACAACACACACGGAATATGGAGTAACACAGTGTTAAAAAAAAAAAAAAAAAAAGCGTGGGTGTTTCCAGTAATACACAATCACGAATCTCTATAATTTTTTTCCATTTAATATTTTGGTGACTCATGTATTGACTTAACCATGTAAATTTCAATATTGTAACAGGTGCCCGTCAGAAAAGCTGAAACACAAAGAACGGACACAGCACATTGTCTCTGAAAAACTGCAGAGTCAGAATCAAGAGGTCACTAGAACAGACGACGCGACCATGGTCACACGAATGGTCGCAAACTAGAACGACCCTAAAGTCACTGGACCTGAGAGTCCCTCGACCCCGTAGACTCCCTACCACAAATTCCACCGCTGAAATCTCCCACACCCGATCACGCAACGGTGCTCCTCCCTTTTCTTTTCTTTTTTTTTTTTTTTTTTTACCCCTCCCTTTTCTGACTGCCTCCAGGAGCTTGAGGCTCAGGCTGGCCCATCTCGTCTCTTCACGGTGTCCAGACCTTGCCCCTCTTTCACCCCACTGAAGTCCAGTCCCAGGTGGAGCCGGGACCAGACGGAACGAAACCGACTCAGCGGTGCTTCCCTCACGGACCAGATACCGTAACGCCTAGAACCCAAAGATCCAGACAACTGTAAGGAGGAGGCGACTTTTCGCAGAAAATAGATTTGGGCCGAGACGGCCTCTGGGAAATGTAGTCCGGGACAGGAAAACTGCGGACCTTTTCACATTCTTAGCACCAAGTGGCACTCCCAGGCTCCGAGGGCCGGACTCACTGGAGGCAGCTGCTGCAAAACTCTCAGCTGAGGCCCCTCGGCAGATCTGAGAGCCCCTCAACGCAGCGGTTGCTTATTCCCGCTACTCGTCAACTGGAGGGCCAGTCCCGCCCTGGCGAGCCGCGAGGGGCTCTGGGAAGAGTTATCCTGCGTCTAACGGACCGAGGCTTGTGCTGCCTTCGGCCACAGCCGGCACTGACCTTAATGGATTACCTAACTCGGGCTGCACCGGCTGTGCCACTTGGGCATCGCTGAGGTGCGGAATTGGGGCCTGTGTCTGCGAGCTCGGTGGTGAGTCCTCGGGAAGCCGCGAGCTCAGAGTCCGGGACTCTTTGTGCCGGGTGGAATAGGGGCCTGCGGACCACCCGGTGCCTGTGTTGTTGGAGGAGGACGCCGGGCAGGGCTTTGCCCGTGCGGGTGGTTCCCTGAGGCCGTGGAAGTGACGTGTGAAGGACTGTGAGCGTGTGGCTTGATAGGACTTTATTTGCCAGGCATTTGTCTGTGACTGATATGGCCGTGGAGTCGTGTGTGCAGGCGGATTTTGTGGATGTGCTTTTCCTTTTCTGTTTCACTATGAACGTGGCTGCAAACCACGATAAAAGGCAGAGTTCGGTTGTGTGTATAGATTTGTGAGACTGTTTGTACCAGCGCTTCATTTCTTTGGATATGGTAATCGTAAATATGTTTTTCTATGAGGTATCAGTAGCCCCAACACGTTGTTTCAGTATTTATTTAAAATTTTATTTCTGTGTAATGGCCACGTTGTTTTGTGTGCTTAGTAATAATGCTCCTTGCCCCTCAGTCCCCGCCCCAAATCACAAAATAAAGAAAAGCTCCAAGAAAGCAAAAATCATTTATACTTCTACCAGCCACTATCAAAATTTATTTCCCATCTTTTCACCCCTCCCTCTGTGAATACATACATATGCATTCGTATATTATAAAATTGGAATCACGCTATACATACAGTTCTGTAATCTACCTATGCTATTTAACAATGTGCAGTTAATATTTTTCCATTTAAACAATTACACATCTATGTCATCATTTAAAAGTTTTTTTTTATGGTATACATTTTAATGCATTTACACCTGTTGATGGGTAATGTGGTTCTTTTTAACTTCTTGCCATTATAAAGAATGGGTTTATCAGCAACTATTTGGCATATTATGATGCACTTTCTTAATCTTTTTTGGTGGGGGGCAGGCTCTTAGAAGTGGAACTGATAGGTTGAGATATATATGCTTATTAAAGACTCCCTAATTCTATCCAGTTATTCTCTTGTAAAGTTCCAATAATCTACAGTATTATTGGCATAGTATAAGATTGCCTATATTCATACAGCCTTGATAACAATGGTTATCGTTAGTATTAATAATCTTTGTTAACCTCATAGATGTAAAATAATTTCTTTAATTTGCAGTTATTTAATTACTACTGAAGTCAACCATTTAAAAATCATTTTTTGTGTGAATTATGTGTTTTCTAAGGTGTTTTTCTACAGCAGTGTTCTATTTTCAAATTTCTTTTCCAGGTTCTTCAGGTACTGAGGATTCATTCATTCATCCACTCACCATTTATTGAATGCTGCGTGTGACAGGAATAATTATAGATGCTTGGGATATAACACTGAACAAAGGAGACAAACTCTCTGCTATCATGGTACTTACATTGTTGTGGGCCAGATAATAAATGAGGTAAGTAAGGTAAATATAACATACATTAAATAGTGAAACATTCTAAGAGAAGAAGTAAAGCAGGAGGATATATAGAATCAAGGATGAGACTTGGAGTTTTAGATGGGGTAGTTAAGAATGCATCCTGAAAATGTAATAATAAAGATATGAAGGAAATAAAGGTGCTAGTTATGCACATAATTAAGGGAAGAGGGAACAACAGTTAGAAAAGCCCTGAGATGGGAATATGCCTGTTACAAAGAGGCTGGTGTGGCTGAAATAGAGCAAATGAGAGGGAGAGTAGTGAGAGATGAGAGAAGAAAGGTAATTGGAGGGAAGAAGGGCAGATCAGATTGGGCCTTATGGGCCCTGTTAAGGATCTTGGCTTTTTACTGTGAATGAGATGGGAAGCTATTGGAGAGTTTTGAACATGCAAGTGATAGTATCTGCTTATGATTTAAGAGGATTGCCTTGGTTGCTCTGATGAGAGAATTATGAGAAGAAGAATAGGGGAAGAGGGCAGGGACAAGGGCAGAAGCAGAGAGACCAATTAGGAAACTATTGTATTAATCTAGGGAAAAGATGTTGGTGACCTGGACCAGAGTAGTAAAAATGGTGAGAAGTAGTCGTGTACTGGATATAATTTAAAGGTAAAGCTGACATAATTTGCTGATAGAACTGATGTGGAGTGTAAGTGTGACAAGATGACACAATATTTTTTAATCTGAGCAACATGAAGAATGGAGTTATCATTAACTGAGAAGGGAAAGAAGGTAGGAAGAACCTGGGGCATATAGAGATAGTGAGATTTCAGTTTGGAATAGTGTATCTGAAGTATAAGATGCCCATTGGACATTCAGGTGGAAATATTAAGTTGGCAGTGGGATATACAAGTCTGAAGTTCAAAAGAAAGATCTGAGACCTAGGTTGGAGACATACGTTTGGGGATTATCAGCATATAGGTGATATTTAAGGAGATCACTTAGAGGGTAGGGTAGATGGAAAATGATAGAGGTAAAGGACTTATCTCTGGGTCACTTCAACATGAGAAAGTCTGGAAAATGAGGAGGAACTAGCAAAAAAGACTGAAAGGGAGAAAACCCCAGTTATGGTGCTTAGTGCTACTGACATGGTCATTGTTTCTAGGCTTTTTATTTTGGTGGGCAGAGCTAGGAAATATATTCTTTTAGTTTTTTTTAGTAGCTTGATTCACATACCATACATTTTACCCTTTAAAGTGTACGTACAGCGGAATGTTTTTTAAAAAAATCCACAGGGTTGTGCACCCATCACCATTGTGTAATTTTAGATCATTTTTGTCCCCCCTGAAAGAATTACTGTACCCATTAGCAGTCAATCTCATATTCTCCTCCTTCCTCCCAGTCTAATGAACCACTAATCTGATTTATGCCTTGATGAATTTGTCTATTCAGACATTTCATATAAATGAAATTGTACAATATGTGATCTTTTGTGACTGGCTTCTTTCACATGATATGTTTTCAATGTTTATTAACGTTGTAGCTGGAAATATACTCTTAACAGGGTAGACCCCATGAGTTCATACTGCTATTTGCAATCAAAAAAATTTAGAATTATAGAGTTTCTACTTTGGTTTCATTTTTGTGTCTTTTATTTATTAATCCATCCATCTGTAGATGTGTATATGTATATATAAATAAGATAGTTCAGAGCAATATTATTAGTACTTAAAATATTCCTACTGCAAATAATTTAATATTTCTTTATAGATCTATTTGCTTTGGGGTTGTCTCTCTAGGGACATATAACCCAGTTATTGTGCTTTAAAGTAACTAGAACTAATTTCTCTGTGTGTGGTTAAGCCACAAATGTAACATATGAGTAGGTTCATTTGTTTCATTCTGCTTTTGATTTTTAGGTACAGCTTATGGGTTTTTTTGGTTGTTGTTGTTTTAATTTAATTTATTTAATTAATTATTTTAGCTTTTAACATTTGTTTTAATTTTGTTTTATAATCATGTAAGACATTTACATGGTTGGAAAGTCAAATATGCAAAACAAACACACAAAACAAAGAGAAGTCTTGTATTGTTTGCAAACAGGGAGCATGATGCCTCCAGCTTTGTTATTCCTTCTCAGGATTGCTTTGGCAATTTGGGGTCTTCTGTGGGTCCATACAAATTTTAGGATTGTTTGTTCTATTTATATGAAAAATTCCATTGGAATTTTGATAGAAATTGCATCGAATCTATACATTGCTTTGAGTAGTATGAACATTTTAGCAATATCAATTCTTCCAATCCATGAACACGGAATTTCTTTCCATTTATTTGTGTCTTTTCCAATTTCTTTCATCAGTGTCCTGTAGTTTTCATTGTATAGTTTTTCACCTGCTTGGTTGAGCTTATTCCTAGGTATTTTATTCTTTTTGATGCAATTGTGAATGGAATTGTTTTCTTAACTTTTCTTTCTGATAGTTCATTATTAGTGCATAGAAATGCAGCAATTTCTGTATATTAATTTTGTATCCTGCAACATTACTGAATTCATTTATAGGTTCTAACAGTTATTTGGCAGTCTTTAGGGTTTTGTATGTATAATATCATGTCATCTGCAAATAATGAAAGTTTCACTTCTTCCTTTCCATTTGGATGCCTTTTATTTCTTTTTCTTGCCTAATTGCTCTGGCTCGGACTTCCAGTACTATGTTGAACAAAAATAGCGAGAATGGGCATCCTGTCTTGTTCCTGGTCTTAGAGTAAAAGCTCTTAGCTTCACACCATTAACTATGGTGTTAGCTCTGAGCTTGTCATATATATCATTTATTATGTGAGATACGTTTCCTCTATACCCACTTTGTTGAGAGTTATTTTGTTTTGTTTTTTTTTGTGGTATGCGGGCCTCTCACTGTTGTGGCCTCTCCTGTGTGGAGCACAGGCTCCGGACGCGCAGGCCCAGTGGCCATGGCTCACGGGCCCAGCTGCTTCGCAGCATGTCAGATCCTCCCGGATCGGGGCACGAACCCGCGTCCCCTGCATCGGCAGGCAGACTCCCAACCACTGTGCCACCAGGGAAGCCCCATATGGATTTTTATCATTCATTTTGGTAATGTGGTGTATCACATTTGTTGATTTGTGGTTATTGAACCATCCTTGCATCCCTAGAATATATCCCATTTTATTGAGGTGTTTGATTCTTTTTAAAAAATTTTTTTTAAATAAATTTGTTTGTTTTATTTTTGGCTGCATTGGGTCTTCATTGTTGCACATGGGCTTTCTCTAGTTGTGGCAAGTGAAGGCTACTCTTCATTGTGGTGCGCAGGCTTCTCATTGCAGTGGCTTCTCCTGTTGCGGAGTGCGGGCTCTAGGCATGTGGGCTTCAGTAGTTGTGGCTTGTGGGCTCTAGAGCGCAGCCTCAGTAGTTGTGGTGCATGGGCTTAGTTGCTCCGCAGCATGGGGGATCTTCCCAGACCAGGGATTGAACCTGTGTCCGCTGCACTGGCAGGCGGATTCTTAACCACTGTGCCACCAGGGAAGCCCCAAGGCATTTGATTCTTAATGTATGTTGAGTTCGTGTTTGCTAATATTTTGTTGAGGATTTTTCATCTGTGTTCATCCAGAATATTGGCCTATG